TTCCATCTGTACCTGACAACTCTGTGACTGAATGAAATACTTCCTAACATCCCTTTACTCATCTGAGTCTTCAACTTCGCATTTGTGACCCCTTGTTTCTGTTCCTGCCCGAAGTAAAAGAGAAACAAATCTGGAACTTGTGTAATACGTATCGGCCTGGCTGGCTGGCTGGCTGGCTGGCTGGCTGCCTGTCTTGGCTGTCTGTCTGCTGCTTGCTGTCTGCCTGGCTGCTTGGCTGGCTGTCTGGCTGGCTGTCTGGCAGGCTGATCTGTCAGGCTGGCTGGCTGCTGGCTGTCTAGGCTGGCTGTCTGGCTGGTTGTCTGTCTGTCTGTCTGTCTGGCTGTCTGTCTGTTCTTCTAGATTTCTCCTTTGTAATGGACCTGAGAAGCCACTGTGTTGCAAAACATTCCTCAATAAAGATACCCAAGAGTTGCACATGGTGTGCGCTAATTCAACACATGTCGGTTCTCTGAACATTCAGTCTACAACCTGTCAACACTTCACACTTCTTGGGATCTTAATACTTGGGAATTCTTCACTGCTAACCATGGGCACGACCTACTTCCAATTGGACAGAATGTGACACCACTAACGACATGCTGCCCCTCACCTGTCTATGGTTTATTAAGCTGCTTCTCCGCTCATATGCCGTAAATACTATCAAGATTGATGGACCTGACCATCACGACTCAAGCTGAGGACTGATTACCTCATCTCCTGTTCTTCAGTTTCTCCTTTGTATGGACTGATGAAGCCACTGTGTGGCAAAACGTTTCCTCAGTAAGATACCAAGAATTGCACATGTTCTAATTCAACACAAGTCGGTCTCTGAACCATTCATTACAATGAGACATACAAGTAGGAAACAGGAATAGAAATTGGAGCCATCTGTGGCCAGCATTTTCATTTTGATCAACTGAACGTTATCTCGTTGACATCATTATGCTGTCCCGAATGTGCTCCTATTCAAGTCATCCTGGTATATATGATCTCAGATGGAGTGATGTCTGGAGAAAGGTGTAGCAGCCAGAGTGAAGGTGCTGCTTTCTGCCTCTTGTGGCATAAAAAGCTGTTTCAAGTCAACGCTGTCGCTCGAAGTGATCGCAAGGTGGTACTTTTAACAATATTGGCCCTTGTCATAACATAAGGCCTCCCACAGGTCCCTCCTAAATGTTGAAGGCTTTGCTGCTGAAATGACAGATCCTTAATCCAGGATGGGTCCAGGCGAGAGATGAAACGTCTTGGCCTCTGTTCTCTACTCTGTCAAGTAGTCGCAGTATGAGAGGGGGGGGGGGGTGGCCAGGCTAACCAAGAAAGTGGAGCATACTCAAGGTGCGAGCGTACTTGTGCCTCGCACAGAATCTTGCCACCCTACTGTCAGTAAGATGCGAGATACGGGCGAAGTGCGCTGTAAGCTTCCGTGCTACCTGTTTGCAAGATTTAGCAACATGTTCTTCATTGGTTTAGTATTGTAGGAGTCAACTTTCACCCCAAGGATATTCAACTTCTTCTCCAGGTGCCCACCCCCTCCCCATTCAGCCTTGCTACTGCACCAGCATTACCATCATGGTGCCTAGAGACAGATCATCATTTGCATTTCCAGGTGCAAATGTTTACTTGCCATCTATTTTCCCAAGCGGATTAGCTCTCAGCTGTGATTGATGTAGCTTAGAGCAGCTGGCATTTCTTCTCTTGGATAAGTGAATGTCAGTGTACACTGACATTCTCTCTCTCTTTCTCTCACACACACACACACACACACACACAGGTACACATAAGTAAAGTTATCATACATAGTGTAAATTACCTAGGATAACCCAAAAATCCAGACAAAGTGCTATACAGTGGATCTGTGCTCCAGTGCCCTTTATTAATAATAATATTAATAATAATTATTATTACGTATTATTATTACAATAATACATATGTACTAAAATTAATAATAATATTATTATTAAACTGTAATATAATATAGTGTTTACTCATTACTTACCTTAAAATATCTGTAGTCTTACTGTAGAGTGAGAGGTGAGTAAACAAGATTAAATGAATAAATGAGAGATAGAATGAGTGTAGAATGTTTGCGAGTTTTGTAAACAAACTAGTTGTTGGTGTTGTTACCAGCCCGGACACGAATGGTTTTTGTTCACTGTCAAGCCAACGTTGGAAAAAACATCTCATAATTTTATGTTAATTTATATGTTTACATAGCTGTTTCTTATATAATTTTTGGAAAAAAAAATCATAGATGGATAAGCAAAATGTCTATTCTAACATTTTATACGCAATTAATGTGCCTCAGAGTGATTATTAGTTGTGTTTGTTATTATCCATTATTAATATGGCGGCTTTCAAGACCAATAACACGCTCTTAATGATTTTATTGTGTAGCTGCACACCGCACAGGTGGCAGATGTGGAGTTTTAAAGCAGTTAAAAGTTCATATTTTATTCATTCTAGAGTGTATATCCGGTTTTTTATGTTTTTAATGTTATTATACATATTAATGAATGTGATAGATAAATAAGCTGTATAGCAAGATAGCACATATTGAAATGTGACACATCTGCATCATGGTAATACCTGTTGGTTCATGAGCGAGCTCTGAGACCGAGAGACAAGCCACACCCAGTAGACAGAAAGACAGACCACACAGGAAGACAAAGACAGATAAATCAGAGACAATACAGACAGACCTATGAATACCAGGCAACAGATACAGACAGATTTATGTGCAACAGTAAAAACCAATAGAGAGAGTTCAAGAGATAGAGCCTTTCTTACCTTCTTGCCACAATCTCCAGGGCAAAATGCAACTTCTTCTGTAGGGACCATGTGAATTTACTGTCCATTAGTTATCGGTTAATACTGTATGAGTGATTCAGATAGGGCAGGGTAACTCAACTGGAGCTGCCTGGCCTTGCTCGTTGCGCGGCCGCGAGTACATCAAAAATTGAACAGTAGTATGTATATAGCCGGCCCAGCTCATCTGCCAGATGTACAGCGTAAGGTCAAGTGGATGTCCGTCAAGCAGATCATAAGTCGGATGTAGGTTTACATATCTTACAAGCTTTCACTTACATTCAAATACACATACATTTACATTTCCATGTGTTTTTTAATCTGTTAGTGTTTCCACAGAACCACCTAACCTAATAACAGATAATCCCTAAAGGCTGGAATATATGGGAAAAAATTAGACACAAATATACTAAAATTCAGTGCTATTAATTTAACGGCTTTTTTATTTTTTTTTTTTTTTTAAACAAGTCGGCATGTCTCCCACCAAGGCAGGGTGACCAAAAAGAAGAAATCCCCAAAAAGTAAAAATACTTTCATCATCATGCACACTTTCACCTCACTCATGACATAATCACTGTTTTTTACAGAGGTGCCCAGATCACAACAGTTTTTTTAGAAGCATATATGAAGATATATAACATATGCCTCCAAACTCCATATCCCAACCCCTCCTTTAAGTGTAGGCATTGATGTACTTCCCATTTCCAGTACTAAGTCCACTTATAAAAATAACGCGGTTTTCCCGAATCCCTTCACTAAATATTACCCTGCTCACACTCCAAAATGCGTCAGGCCCAAAAACCATTCATCTTCATTCACATCCTATCTAACGTGCCTCACTCATGCTTACTGAAGTCCAAGCCCTCGCCCACAAAAACCTCCTTTACCCCCTCCCTCCCAACCGTTATCGAGGATGACCCCTACCCCTACCTACCTATCCCCTACGATTTATACACTCTCCATATTAAAAAAAAAAAATCATTCTACTTTGATCCATTCTCTCTAATGACCAAACTCACCTCCAACAACCCCTCTTCAGCCCTCTGACTAATACTTTTATTAACTCCACACCTCTAATTTCCACACTTCAAATTTTCCACAGAAACTAAAACGTGGGTATTCCAGATGTTTTCCTAAACACCTCTATACTGTTTGCATCCAGACTTAGTGGGTGAATGCAGAAATTTTTTTTAGATTGCACACCCCTAGATGAGAAAACATTGTGTACAGTAAAGTGTGTAATGGCTGCTAATACATTCCTTCAATAATAATGAATCAAATTAATTAATGAATATCTCCCAGATGATCCCAAACTACTCGGAAGGCCGTATAATATAAAATAAATAAATCAAATATCCAGGGAAGTACTATCTCCTGCCAAGTGAGTGTAAAATGGAAGCCTATAGTTGTTTTACATGATGGTGGAGGATAGCTGGTTTCTTTTTTTTGTCTCTAAGCATGCAAACGTTAAGTACATCTTGCCACTTCTACTACAACTTGGGTCACACTACATTTGCATGTACTGTACAAGCATAACACATTAGCTTGTACATGCAAGTATGTATCTGTATGTGTATGTGTGTCTGTGTAATGTGTGTGTAATGTGGTATGTATATAACCCATACGGGGTATATACATACCCCTCTGGTTTTCTTCCTATTTTCTTATTATCCTTATTTGCTAGTTATTTCCGCTTATCTCTGTGAGAAGTGGAATTAGAATCTTCCTCCGTAAGTCATGCATGTCGTAAGAGGCGGCTAGAATGCTGGAGCAAAGGCTAGTAACCCTTTCTCCTGTATTTTTTTTTTTTTTCAACAAGTCGGCCGTCTCCCACCGAGGCAGGGTATATATTACTAAATTTAATAAGAGAAACTTTTGTTTTTCTTTTTGGGCCACCCTGCCTTTGTGGGATATGAACCGTTTCATTGAAAAGAAATAAGAAATCATATAGTATCTTTCAGGAAAAGAGGTATGAGAGAGGGGAAGAAAATTAGAAAAGAATGTGCTGAAAGGCTAAGGAAGTTGGAGAAGTTGGAGATAGTATGGTCAGATTGGGAAGGGAAAGAGAAAAAGAGGAGACAGTAAAATGAGCGTAATGACCTATCATGGATATAGACAGGTCTAAATAGAATTGAACCAGTCAGACAGACAGTGCCATGAATTCCAAAATCAGTCCCTCATTCAAATTTCTGTTTCAGATGACTGCAACGAAACTTTCCATATTGCACAGTCACCTTCACATCCGCAGCTGTCAAGAAAAGGACATGAACAGTCTCCGGACATCCTGGTTCAAGAGGATGATTTCATGGGCAGGGTCTCCTCAGAATCAAAGAGGCCTTACACAGTCAGCTGTAAGTGAAGACATTTTACTAGTTTTATTATCTGATAATTGACCAAAAACCCATTGTACATTTTCATAATTAAACTAATTCTTGTTTGTATACGCAAAAATTATTATAGGAAGTCAATTTTACTTTGTCATATTCAAAAATAAATTGTATAAATTTAGTAAACTGCAAAATTATAATGATGAAACTACAATAGTCAGTTAAGAAAGTTAGTTTTCTCTTTTTTATATAAATTCTTTACTTTATCCTGATAAGTATATTATTGTGGTGAGTTTGAGTTCTGGAAGTTGAAATATAGTGACTTGCTCTTGAATGATGGATGGGGATTTGCAGTTCAGTGTCATTTAGAAAATTGTGATATCCTCACACATTCTAGCAAGAAGACAAATAACAAAAAAAGGCACAATACCGTGACTGAACGATACACAAATAACCCAAACATAAAAGAGAGAACTTACACGACGCTTCGGGTCCGACGTGGTCCAAGTCGGACCGAAGCGTCGTGTAAGCTATCTCTTTTTTGTGTGGGTTATTTTTTTTTTTTTTTTTTTTTTTTTATTATTAATCACACTGTCCCGATTCCCAGCCAAGTCGCGAGGGTGGCCCGTAAAGACAACTTTCACCATCATTCACTCCAACACTGTCTTGCCAGAAGGGTGCTTTTACACTACACTTTGTAAAAAACTGCAACATTAACACACTCCTTCAGAGTGCAGGCACTTACGTCCATCTCCAGACTCAAGTCCGGCCTGCCGGTTTCCTGAAGAGCGCTTCAATAAATGGTTTACTGATGCTCACACTCCAACAGCACGTCCAATTAATTAAAAACGCATTTGTCTCCATTCACCTTCCTATCAAACACGCTCACGCATGCCTGCTGGAAGTCCAAGCCCCTCGCACTACAAAACCACCGTTACCCCCTCCCTCCCAAACCTTTCCTAGTCCTCGACACCTACCCCGCCTTCCTTCACTACAGACTGAATTACACTCTGAAGTATTCTGTTTCGCTCCATTCGTCTCTACATGTCGAACCACCTCAAACACCCCTCGCTCAGCCCTCTGGACTACAGTTTTTTTTGGTTATCCCGCAACCTCCTCCTAACTTCCAAACTACGAAGTCTCTGCATTATATTCACACCACATATTGCCCCAACATGACATCTCCACTGCCTCCAGCCTTCACCCTCGCTGCAAATTCATCAGCACCATGCTTCACACCCAATATAAGAGCTTAGGTAAAATATACTCTCATACATTCCCACTCTTTGCCTCCAAGGACAAAGTTCTCTGTCTCCACAGACTGCCTAATGCACCACTCAACATTCTTTTTCCCTCATCATTCTATGATCACCTCATCTTTCATAGACCCATCGCTGACACGTCCACTCCCAATATCTGAATACGTTCACCTCCTCCATACTCTCTCCCTCCAATTCTGGATATTCAATCTTTCGATCAACCTAATCTACATCATTTTGTTATCCTCATACACTTACTCTTTCCTGTATTCACCTTTATTTTCTTCTTTTGCACACCCTACCAAATTCATCTCACCATCTTCTGCAGCTTTCTCTTCAGAATTCCAAGAGCACAGTGTCATCAGCAAAGAGCACTGTGACAACCCCACCCTGTGTGTGATTCTTTTACTTTTAACTCCATCGCCTCTTTGCCAAGACCCTCTCATTTACTTCTCTTACAAACCCCATCTAAAATATATTAAACAACCACGTGACATCACACATCCTTGTCCTAAGGCGCTACTTTTAACTGGGAAAAAATTTCCTCTTTTCTACATACTCTAACTTTGAGCCTCACTATCTCTCGTAAAAACTCTTCACTGCTTCAGTTAACCTACTCCTACAACCATACACTTGCAACATCAGCCACAATTGGGCCCCCCTAATCCACCCTGTCATACGCCTTTTCCAATCCATAAATGCACAAAAGACCTCTTTAGCCATTATCTAAATACTGTTCACTTATATGTTTCACGTAAACACCTGTCCACAACACCCCCTACGCTTTCCTAAAGCCTCCTTGTTCATCTGCTATCCTATTCTCCGTCTTACTCATAATCTGTCAATTATAACTCTACCATACACTTTACGCAGGTACACTCACAGACTATCCACCTATAATATTTGCAACTCTCTTTTATCCCCTTGCCTTTATACAAGGAACTATGCATGCTCTCTGGCAAATCCCTAGGTACCGTTACCCTCTTCATATACAATATTAAATAATTGCACCAACCAATCCAAAACTATATCCCCACCTGTGCTTTTAATAACATTTCTATCTTTATCCCATCAATCCACCCCGGCTGCCTTACCCCCTTCATTTACTCTACTGCCTCAACGACGCATCCCCACACTCACAACTGGCTCTTCCCTCACTCCTACATGATGTTATTCCTCCCTTGGCCCTATACACGAAATCACAGCTTCCCTATCTTCATGCAACTTTAACAATTCCTCAAAATATTCTCTCCATCTCCCCAATACTCTAACTCTCCATTTAATAACTCCCTCTCCTTATTTTTAACTGACAAATCCATTTTGTTCTCTAGGCTTCCCTAACTTGTTAATGCTCCCTCCAAAACTTTTTCTTATTTTCAACAAAATTGTTGAATACCAGCTCACCCACTCTCTCATTTGCTCTCTTTTTACATGCTTCACCCACTCTCTACCTCTCATCTTTTCTCCATATACTCTTCCCTCCTTGCATCACTTCTCTTTGTAAAACTTCTCATATGCTAACTTTTTCTCCTACTACTCTCTTTACATCATCATTCCACCAAATCGCTCCTCGTCTCATCCTGGCACCCACTTCCTGTAACCACAACTTCTTGCCTGAACACTACTAACCCTACATTTTTAAACCTACCCCATTCCTCTTCGACCCCATTGCCTATGCTGCTCAATAGCCCCATCTAGTCCTCCAATAGCTGTTTATATCTTACCCTAACTGCCCTCCTCTTTTTAGTTTATAAACCTTCACCTTGAGTGTATAAGAAAGACTGTTTTTGAATGAATGATAGTAAATGTTCCTTCAAGCCACTCTACATAGTGAGAAATGGCTCAGTGTGGCAATATAAGAAAAAGTACCTGAAGCTCTGTTCTGGTTTCAATATGTTAGGAAATTTATTATACACAAATAACCCACACATAGAAGAGAGGAGCTTACGATGACGTTTTGGTCAGACCGAATCACATCGTAATCGCCTCTCTTCTATGGTGGGTATTTGTGTACATTTCACAGTAAAGGTATTGCTCCGTTTTTTTTGTTATTTAGGGAATTTATGCACATTCTATTACAGTACCTCATTTTTTGTTTCAATTTCTTTTCCCCTTTCCCACCTAATAAAGTGGGAAATGAACACTAATAAGGATTAATAGGTAGAGCGTGGTTGTGGTACAGTCCTTATCATAATAGGATGAATACGAGTGCCAAAATAAACTCACAGTTCACTTTCGGGGAAATCAAAAGTAATAATGGAATGAAGGTTCTGTTTTAATGTTTCATTTGGGAATAGTTTATCTGGCAGAATTTTAAAGATTTCTTATTGATTAATTTATGCTTGTTGAGAGAGGGGGTAAAGGAGGTTTTGTGGCAAGGGGCTTGGACTTCAGCAAGCGTATGTGAGCGTGGTTAGATAGAGGTGAATGGAGACGAATGTAACTTGGGACCTGACGATCTGTTGGAGTAGAGTGAGCAGGGTAACTTTAGTGAAGGATTCAGGGAAACCGTTATTTCCATATAGTCGGTCTTGAGTCCTGGAAATGGGAAGTACAATCCTGCACGTAAAGGAGGGGTTTGGATATTGGCAGTTTGGAGGGATATGTTTTATCTTTTATATGTGTATGCTTCTAGACTGTTGTATTCTGAGCACCTCTGCAAAACAGTGATAATGTGCCGAGAGTGGTGAAAGTGTTGAATGATGAGAAAGTATTTTCTTTTTGGGATTTTCTTTCTTTTTTGGTCACCCTGCCTGGTGGAGAGACGTGGCCCGACTGTTTGAAAAAAAAAAAAAAAAAAAAGGTTAATGTTACGCAAATGTTCAATGCTTCATAACCTTATATCTTATTTCAGCGGGCAATTCCACGTCAAGCATCACGCTAGTGCCGTATAACTCTGTTGAGAAGGCCAAGAGTGAATCAGCGAAGTCCAGATGGACAGAGGAACAAATAAAGTTGTTCAAATGGCATTAAGTTCATTCTTTTTCAATGGAAATTTTCATATTCTGCTATTGTGTTTGTCATACACATGGCGTACACACCTGACGACATTGAGGACAGGAGGGTTAGGGAACATGATAACGACATATAAAGGTTTGCGAGGAATTGACAAGATGGACAAAGACAGGATTGTTCCAGAATAGGACACCAGAAACAAAGTCACAATTGGAATCAAGACCCTGGAATGCGTCAAAGGATGTTAGGAGTAATTCTTAAATCATAGAGTTGTCTGCAAATGGAAAGCCTAAGAAGTGACGTAGTAGAAGAGGACCCATACATAGTTTATAAGATGAGGTTTATAAAGTTCATGGAGCAGGGGAGGAGGAGGACCTAGTAGTCAATCATGAAGAGGCAGGGCCAGGAGCTATGAACACGACCCATGCAGACCACACATATGTGAAGTACACACACACATACGTGCATGCACACAACGCACACACACATGCACGCAAACAACCATGCACTCACAAACACACACAAACACAATGACGACACTGGAGGACAGTAGAGGTAGGGAGGAACTACGTGATAACGTCATATAAAATACTGAGAGGAAATGACAGGGTGGACAGAGACAGAATGTTCCAGAGATGGGACACATTCAACAAGGGACACAGCAAGAAAATCACAGGGTTAGTTAGGAAGCATTTCTTCAGTCACAGTAGTCAGGAAGTGGAATAGTTTGGGAAACAATGTAGTTGGAGGCAGGATCCATTCTACTTTAAGCAGAGGTATGATAAAGCTCATTGTGCAGGAGAGTGACCTAGTAATCAATCAGATGAAGAGGCAGAGCAGGAGCTATGACTCGACCCTTCAAACCACAACTAGGTGAGTACACAACGCACACTTGGCACGCTAAACAAAGGGGTATGGGAGGTTTTGTGGGCGAGGGGCTTTGGACCTCCAGCAGGCGTGCGTGAGCGTGTTCAATAGAGTGAATGGAGACGACTGGTATTTGGAACCTGAGATCTGTTGGAGTGTGAGCAGGGTACTATTTAGTGAAGGGATTCAGGGAAACCGGTTATTTTTTATATAGCCGGACTTGAGTCCTGAAATGGGATGTACAATGCCATTGCACTCAAAGGAGGGGTTCGGGATATTTTGCAGTTTGGAGGATAGTGTTGTGTACCTTTATACGTATATGCTTCTAACTGTGTGTTCTGAGCATGCTCTGCAAAAACAGTGATTATGCGTGAGTGAGGTGAAATAGTTATTGATGATGAAAGTATTTTCTTTTTGGGGATTTTCTTTCTTTTGTCCACCCGGCCTTGTGGGAGATGGCCGACTTTTAAAAAAAAAAAAAGTCTTTATGACAGTACCTACAAAATCATCACAGACAGGACCTGTAGTTCAGGGATAAATTAGTAAGTACAGTGACCCCCGCATAACGATGGCATCACAAAGCGATTAATCCGCATACGCTGCTTTATCGCAAAAATTATGCGCGCATACCGAATAAAAACCCGCTCATCCGATTTTTCGTCCGAGACACGTCACAATGTGCGCCTCAGCCGCCTCCCATGTGCCGCCGTGCCATTGTTTTACCCCAGCCAGCCTCCGCGGTAACATCCAAGCATACACTCGGAAATATTTCTATTATTACAGTGTTTTTCGGTGCTGTTCTGGAAAATAAGTGATCCATGGGCCCCAGAAAGCTTCTTCTAGTGCCAACCCGTACACAATAAGGGTGAGAATCCTATAGATATGAAGAAAGAGGATTCTTTGATAAGTATGAAATGGAGGTGCGTATCGCCGACCTTAGTCAAGTTGTACAAAAACCCCAATCAACCATCGCTACTGATTGTGGGCCACCAGAAGACAATCAATGAAGCTGTTCCTTGCCAAGTTTATCGTGTTTTCGAACCAAGATCGCAAGTGAAGGTAGATGTTGAGAACTCTTATGGTGGGGATTAAAAGTAAAAAACAGCTAGCATTAGATAGCGTCTCGCAAGGCGATCATATTGTGAAAAGGCTAGAGTTTATGCATGAGGATTTAATTAAACAAATGCCTGCAACTAGTGGATATTTGAGTGAATTTAAGGCAGCAAAGGTTGGTTGAGAGATTTAAATGCGCTAGTGCATCCCTAGTGTGATAAGGCATGGTGAAGCTGCCAGTTCGACCACAAAAGCGGCCTGAAAAATATGTGCAGGAATTCAGGAGTACCATAGACAGTGAGAGGACTGAAACCTGAACAAGTGTTATTATTGTGATGAAAACAGGCCCTGTTCTGGAAGAAAATGCCAAGCATGGACCTACATTACTCAGGAGGAAATGTCACTCCCAGACATAAGCCTATGAAAGACAGGCTTACTTTGATGATGTTGTGCCAATGCTAGTGGTGATTGCAAAGTTAAGCCTTTATAGCGGGTATCACTCTGAAACTCCCAGAGCGATTCCGGCAAAGAGAATGTCGCTCAAGGATAATTTGAGTGTGCGTGGAGGGCAAACAGTAAGGCATGGGTCACTAGACTTTTTGCTAGTAACTGGTTACACAGCATTGCCCCAATGTAAAGGGATTACCTAACTGAAAAGAAATTAGACCTTAAGTGCCTCCTGGGTGGTTTAGACAATGGCCCCCTCGTCATCTACAGACGTGGCAGAGCGACTTTATGGGGACATGAGCTTCATTAAGTGAAGTTTTTGCTCCTAATACCACTCTCTCCTGCAGCCCCCAGGACCAGCAGGTTATTGCAACTTCAAAAAACATGTAAACACAAAAGCTCTGTATTGAAAGGTGCTTTGTAGTGACCTTCAGAAGCGCTCAACTGACTCAAACAGACGGAGTTTTGGAGAGAGCACTAATATCCTCAATTGTGTAAACCTTATAAGGTAAGGCTTGGGAGGAGTGACTAGAAGACCTTGAAGCTCTGCTTGGAAAACCTGGGTGGCCAGAATGTGTAGACGAAGGGATTTTGAAGGGTTTGAGGCTACCCTGAGAGGATTATTCCAGTTGAGGAATCCATTGGGCATTGGGAAAGTCCTTGGGTTGGAGGTAGTGGGGAGGAGTGGGAAGAGAGGTGGAGGAGACAATGAAGAACTACTAACCACTGATGAGCTGATAATCAACTTCCAACCGCAAGAGGCCGACTGAGGATACTGGTTCAGAGAGGGGAGAGAGAAATAAAAGAAGTTTTGCCTACTACAAAGATAAAGGAAATCTGTGGCAAAGATGCTTGAAGTGCAAACCATCATGGATGAAAATCACCCCTCGACCCAGCTATTGCAAGCCATGCTGGTGATTATTAACACTGACAAGGTTGTTGAAACACTTTAGGGAAGTCATAAAGGAACGAGCGGTACCGGCCACTATGGACAGATATGTTGTGCTAAAGAAGTCCATTGACTCTGAAGCTGGTCCTAGTGGCATTAAAGAAGAAGGAAGTAACCCCAGAAAAAGGACTTTGCCACCGTGCACGTCTTAATTGGAAGGGGGATTCCCCTTCTAACCACTAGACATCCTCTCACTCCCCTCCTCCCTCCCATCAATCAATCACCAGATCGTCATAAAAGTAAGTGTCCATGGTAAGTTGCCATGCCTTTATCAGTATATTTGTGTGTCTTAAATTAACATTTACATGGTGGTAAAAAAAATTTTTTTTCGATAACTCTTGGGTGTCTTGCACAGGATTTTATTTTATTTCCATTATTTCTTCTGGGAAAATTTCATTCTCATACCGTGATTATTTCGCAATAACAATTACACCCTCTTGCACAGGATAAAATCGTTATGCGGGTCCCCACTGTAATACCACTTTCAGAAGCCCATCAATGTTAGTATGTTACTTTGGCTAAAATTGTCATTGTGTGATGTGGATCACAGAATGTAATAGGATTTTTGATTGTCAGAATGTACAATTCACTCGCAGAGGGTCCCCATTTTGCCACCCTGTCCCTGAATTAAACAGTTCAATTATCTTGATATAGTAAGTAGTCGTTAGACCTTGTTAACCAGACACCCTGCAATATATAGCACTACTGGGCATATGATGACTTTGGCTATAAAGATGGTGGGTAGGGTACTTTGGTGTGCAGACAGTCTTGAATAAAAAACAAATTATTATAAACAATGAACGTTTTTAAATGTCCATGTTTAAATTTTTAATGAGCTTATTTCTACATACGATGAGGCTTGAGGAGAGCCAACATAAACCATATGCAAATAGTCCCTTCCATGACACTGAATCACCAAGCTGTTACTTGATGGACAAATAAAAGAGGCAGAGAAAGTGAGAGCTGAGTTTAAAAATTCCCGAAAGAAGTTTTAGTTTGCTATGTTGCATTCACCATCTATAGCTATTATCAATAATATTGGTTAAGAAAAAATTGTTATTTTTCTCTGCAGGGTCTATATCAGGGGTGGACAAACAATGTTGGTCAGGTAGGCCACCTACTGTACAAATACAGTGTTTTTCTGTGGAAAGAAGTTTATAAGTTTATAGCTTTACACTAGCTGTTACAGAAATTTTACTTTTTTTGTTACAGCAAATTACAATTCTGCATACATATTCTGTTTTCTTTATGAAGATATTGTGGTTGCGAGTATAGCACATGCTCAAGCAGGCATTGGAAGAGCTGGCTACACTTCTCAAAGAATAAAAAAAATACAATTGGCTTTGAGGTATGTCTGGAACTGGTATTTTTACATATGTAAATAATAATAACAGTAATTAATAATAATAACAACTATTCCTAAAATTTACATCATACTGTCATAATTTTTAACCCTTTCAGGGTCGAGACCTCCCGATCCTTAACTCACTCTCAGGGTCGAAAATTAAAAAAAAATTCCTTATAAATGATAGAGTATCTTTTTCTGATCATAATGACACTAAAAGTATGAAATTTGATGAAACATACGGAATTATGCTCTCGTGAAGTTTGTGTTCTGAACGATATTTTCTGCATCAGCGATTTTCGCCCCACCTTTTGAGCCCTATTTTCAGCCATTCCATGTTTCAGTCTACTAAAATCATAGCCTATTTCACTAGAATCCTTTTGATTATCAATTGAGTTCCAAGAAACTGCCCATGTACCGATTTCAACTTCAGATTAAGTGGTCAAAATTGGCAATTTGGCCATTTCACACAAATTGCAAATTGGGTCAAAATAAACAAGACATATAGACATTCCGTGGCACTAAAATAACATTTTATCTGTTCGTTAGTCACATCTCCAGTCCCTCATAAATTACTTTTGCTTTCATTTTGAATTTTTATTCTCACAAAAGACTTAGTACTGTAAAGTTACTACAGCATCATTGTATAGAATGGTGTAAATAGTAATAATCAGCACACGCGTGCAAGAATATTAGACTCACTATTTGACATGTATTGACAACGTGATGTGATTTGTTTACTCTTGAACATCAGCAAGAATCAACTTTTTGCTACACTTGTGCTCATTTCAAGTTAGTTGTCGTCATGAAACCAAGCAAAATTATCTTGGTTTCTGTAATGTACCTTCCATTCTGTCAAAATATACAAGAAAACGAGAATACCTCATAAAAACCATACAAAAATAGACGCAAAATAGCTGTTTTTAAACGCAAAATCATGGTCAGTTTTTTTCCCTCCTTATGCACTGTTGTGCTGCAGGATTTTTCTTTTGTATACTGCCGCACACTGAACCCGCAGACACATTCTTTCACATATAGGCCTACAGCCTTTTTCCTGCTTGATTGACGCGCTAGAAATTTACCTACTATTACGTCACCAACACTGGTGCATAAGACGTACTAGTACATCAAAAACCTTAAAAGGTTAAAAATCCTCATAACATAGTACAACAAAGCATTTCCAGTTAATTTATGAAAAAAAATAATTGGAGTACATACATGAAGCTTTTAGATGAATTTTGGCAATTTTGGACAAAAAAATTCCTGAACGACATTGGAAGTATCAAATTAAAGTAGACAAAAGCCATGAGTTCCAAGTTTTTATCCATAGCATTAGTGTCTGGCGTCTTCAGAAGTGTTGGACAAGCCCAAAGACTCTGAGTTTGTCCATTAGGGCCAGAACAGGCACACCCAGGACCTCCATCCTCTCAATTGATCTCTGAGATGTAGGCCACCCACAACCATAGTTTATTGTTTGTGCTCACTCACATAGCCTCGTCGTCATTCTGTCTTTTTCCCTGTATTTTGGCATTTTCTGAGACTTATAGCATAGTAAGAAAGTGCAATAACAATGGCTTCGAAAGCAAGTGGCAGTGCCAATAGGAAATGCTGTGGTTCTGTGTTTAAACAGAAGACTTTAATAAAAAACAATTGAGTGTGGCCATAGCTCAGTGGTAAGGCTCAGTGAGGAATATAGTGTAAGAAACAATGCTGATATTCCACTGAAGCAAGGACATACATACTCTTAGTTTAGTGTAATTGCTAAAGGAGCTTTTAGCTCCTGTGACTCAAATGAAAGTTATTCTGCATCACCATGTCGAAATGGCAGTTTACACGTATTTTCTCCACAATGAAAAAGGATGATTAAAATTACTGTAAATTACAATACAGTCGTATAAAATTACTCTAAACACTTAAGTACTGTACCATAGTACTAAGGTTACAATACCCATACTCTGAGTACCCGAATATTTTTCTGTATAGTGATCAAATCCAGTAGTTCAGAAGACAAACTGGTGTCATGAGATATTGATTTCACAAATCAGAAGTTTTGAACTCTGGGAGTATCTTTAACACACACCCCACTTTTATTATCTGTTAATGTGAGAGGGTTCCACGCATTTAATTTATTTAAGTTCTGTACCTAGTACAGTATGAAGAGAACAGTTGTGTTCAGAGATGTATACGATTAAAAGCATATTTACTTGTACTGCACCTAATTGTGGTTGCAGGTCCCAGGACTCACTCCTGGCCCTGCCTCTCATTGACCACTACTAGGTCCTCTCTCTCCCTGCTCCATGAGCGTTTAATCATACCACGTCTTAAAGCGCTGTATGGTTCTTGCCTCCGGGACTGCAATCACTTGCTAGACTATTCCATCTGTACCTGACAACTCTGTGACTGAATGAAATACTTCCTAACATCCCTTTACTCATCTGAGTCTTCAACTTCGCATTTGTGACCCCTTGTTTCTGTTCCTTATTCATTCTAGAGTGTATATCAGGTTTTTATGTTATTTATATTGTTTATTATGTCATATTAGATGAATTGTGATAGATAAATAAGCTGTATAGCAATATTAGCATCATATTGAAAATGTGACAACTCTGCTTCATGTGTAATACCTGTTGGTTCATGAGCGGCTCTGAGACAGAGAGACAAGCACACACACAGGTAGACAGAAAGACAGACACACAGGAAGACAAAGACAGATAAACAGAGACAGATACAGACAGACAGATATACAGGCAGACAGATACAGACAGATTTATGTGCAACAGTAAAAACAAATAGAGAGAGTTCAAGAGAAAGAGCCTTTCTTACCTTCTTGCCACAATCTCCAGGGCAAAATTCAGACTTCTTCTTAGGGACCATGGTGAAATTTACTGTCCAGTTAGTACGGTTAATACTGTATGATGATGCTGATAGGGCAGGGTAACTCAAACTGATGCTGCCTGCATGGCGCGTTGCCGCCGCGAGTATCATCAAATATTGTACAGTAGTATGTATCAGCCGGCCCAGCTCATCTGCCAGATGTACAGTCGTAAGTCGAGTGGATGTATGTCAAGCAGATCGTAAGTCGGATGGTAGGTTTATATCTTACAAGCTTTCACTTACATTCAGTATACACATACATTTACTTTTCCATGTGTTTTTTAATCCTGTAGTGTTTCCACAGAACCACTAACTAATAGCAGATATCCCTAAGGCTGGAATATATGGAAAAAATTACACAATTTACTAAAATTCAGTGCTATTAATTTAACGGCCTTTTTTTTTTTTTTTTTTTTTAACAAGTCGGCTGTCTCCCACCAAGGCAGGGTGACCCAAAAAGAAAGAAAATCCCCAAAAAGAAAATACTTTCATCATCATTCAGCACTTTCACCTCACTCATACATAATCACTGTTTTTACAGAGGTGCCCAGAACACAACAGTTTAGAAGCATATATGAAGATATATAACATATCCCTCCAAACTGCCAATATCCCAAACCCCTCCTTTAAAGTGTAGGCATTGTATGTACTTCCCATTTCCAGTACTCAAGTCCAGCTATATAAAAATAACCGGTTTCCCTGAATCCCTTCACTAAATATTACCCTGCTCACACTCCAACATGTCGTCAGGTCCCAAAAACCATTCATCTTCATTCACTCCTATCTAACGTGCTCACTCATGCTTACTGGAAGTCCAAACCCCTCGCCCACAAAACCTCCTTTACCCCCTCCCTCCAACCTTTTCGAGGATGACCCCTACCCTACCTACCTATCCCCTACAGATTTATACACTCTCCATATCATTCTACTTTGATCCATTCTCTCTAAATGACCAAACCACCTCAACAACCCCTCTTCAGCCCTCTGACTAATACTTTTATTAACTCCACACCTTCTAATTTCCACACTTCAAATTTTCCACAGAAACTAAAACCGTGTATTCCAGATGTTTTCCTAAAACACCTCTATACTGTTTGCATCCAGACTTGTGGTGATGCAGAAATTTTTTTAGATTGCACACCCCTAGATGAGAAAACATTTGTACAGTTAATGTGTATGGCTGCTAATAGCATTCCTTTCAATAATAATGAATTCAAAATTAATTATGTATATCTCCCTATGATCCCAAACTACTCGGAAGGCCTGTATAATATAAATAATAAATCAAATATCCCAGGGAAGTACTATCTTCCTGCCAAGTGAGTGTAAAATGGAAGCCTATAGTTGTTTTACATGATGGTAGGATAGCTGGTGTCTTTTTTTTGTCTCATAAGCATGCAAACTTTAAGGTACATCTTGCTACTTCTACTTACACCTTGGTCACACTACATTTGCATGTACTGTACAAGCATATACACATATGCTTGTACATGCATATGTAGTCTGTATGTGTAGTGTGTATGTGTAATGTGTGTGTAATGTGTATGTATATACCCATAGGGGTATATACATACCCCTCTGGGTTTTCTTCTATTTTCTTATTAGTCCTTATTCTTGTTTATTTCCGCTTATCTCTGTGGAGAAGTGGAATAGAATTCTTCCTCCGTAAGTCATGCATGTCGTAAGAGGCGGCTAGAATGCTGGGAGCAAAGGGCTAGTAACCCTTTCTCCTGTATATATTACTAAATTTAATAAGAGAAACTTTTGTTTTTCTTTTTGGGCCACCCTGCCTTTGTGGGATATGACCAGTTCATTGAAAGAAATAAGAAATCATATATATCTTTCAAGAAAAGGGGTATGAGAGAGGGGAAGAAATTAGAAAAGAATGTGCTGAAAGGCTTAGAAGTTGGAGATGTTGGAGATAGTATGGTCAAATTGGGAAGGGAAAGAGAAAAAAGAGGAGACAGGAAAATGAGCTAATGACCTATCATGGATATAGACAGGTCTAAATAGAATTGACAGTCAGACAGACAGTCAGAATTCCAAAATCAGTCCCTCATTCATATTTCTGTTTCAGATGCTCATACGAAACTTTCCTATTGCACAGTCACTTCACATCCGCAGCTGTCAAGAACAGGACATGGAACAGCTCCGGGACATCCTGGTTCAAGAGGATGATTTTCATGGGCAGGGTCTCCTCAGAATCAAAGAGGCTTACCAGTCATCTGTAAGTGAAGACATTTTACTAGGTTTTATTATCTGATAATTGACCAAAAAGCATTGTAAATTTTATAATTAACTAATTCTTGTTTGTATAAGCAAAAATTATTATAGGAAGTAAATTTTACTTGGTCATATTCAAAAATAAATTGTATAAAGTTTAGTAAACTGCAAAATTATAAGTGATGAACTACAATAGGCAGTTAAGAAAGTTAGTTTTACTCTTTTTTTATATAAATTCTTTACTTTATCCTGATAAGTATATTATTGTGGGTGAGTTTGAGTTCTGGAAGTTGGAAATATAGTGACTGCACTTTGAATGATGGATGGGGATGTTGCAGTTCAGTGTCATTTAAATTGTGATATCCTCACACATCTAGCAAGAAGACTAAATAACAAAAAAAGGCACAATACCGTGACTGGAACGATACACAAATAACCCACACATAAAAGAGAGAAGCTTACGACGACGCTTCGGTCCGACTTGGTCCAAGTCAGACCGAAACGTCGTTGTAAGCTTCTCTCTTTTATGTGTGGGTTATTTGTGTAGTAAGAAGACTGTTTGAATGAATGATAGAAAATGTTTCCTTCAAGCCACTCTACATTAGTGAGAAATGCTCAGTGTGGCAATATAAGAAAAATGTACCTGAATGCTCTGTCTGGTTTTCAATATGTTAGGAAATTTATTATACACAAATAACCCACACATAGAAGAGAGGAGCTTACGATGACGTTTTGGTCGGACCGAATCATCATCGTAAGCTCCTCTCTTCTATGTGTGGGTTATTTGTGTATCATTCCAGTAACGGTATTGCTCCTTTTTTTGTTATTTAGGGAATTTATTGCACTATTTCTATTACTGTAACTCATTTTTTGTTTTATTTCCTTTTCCTCCTTTCCCACCTTAATAAAGTGGGAATGAACAATAATAAGGATTAATTAGGTAGAGCTGTGGTTGTGGTACAGTCAGTATCATATTAGGATGAAACGAGTGCCAAATAAACTGCACGAGTTCATTTTCGGGGGAAATAAAAATAATAATGGAATGGAAGGTTCTGTTTTTAATGTTTCATTTGGAATTGTTATCTGGCAGAATTTTAAGATTTTCTTATTGGATAATTTATGCTTGTTGGAGAGAGGGGGTAAAGGAGGTTTTGTGGGCAAGGGGCTTGGACTTCCAGCAAGCGTATGTGAGCGTGTTAGATAGGAGTGAATGGAGACGAATGGTACTTGGGACCTGACGATCTGTTGGAGTGTGAGCAGGGTAATATTTAGTGAAGGGATTCAGGGAAACCGGTTATTTTCATATAGTCGGACTTGAGTCCTGGAAATGGGAAGTACAATGCCTGCACTTTAAAGGAGGGGTTTGGGATATTGGCAGTTTGGAGGGATATGTTGTGTATCTTTATATGTGTATGCTTCTAGACTGTTGTATTCTGAGCACCTCTGCAAAAACAGTGATAATGTGCGAGTGTGGTGAAAGTGTTGAATGATGATGAAAGTATTTTCTTTTTGGGGATTTTCTTTCTTTTTTGGGTCACCCTCGGTGGGAGACGGCCGACTTGTTGAAAAAAAAGTTATGTTAAACAAATGTTTCAATGCTTCATAACCTTATCTTATTTCAGCGGGCAGATTCACGTCAAGCATCACTGCTAGGTGCAGTAGAACTCTTTAGAAAGGCCAAGAGTGAATCTGCGAGTCAGATGACAGAGGAACAAATAAAGTTGTTCAAATGGCAGGTAAGTTCATTCTTTTTCAATGGAAATTTTCAGTTTCTGTTATTGTTTTTCATACACATGCGTACACACCTGACGACACTGTAGGACAGGAGGGTTAGGGGAGACATGATAACGACATATAAAATATTGCGAGGAATTGACAAGATGGACAAAGACAGGATGTTCCAGAGATAGGACACAGAAACAAAGGGTCACAATTGGAAGTCAAAGACTCTGATGAGTCAAAGGGATGTTAGGAAGTATTTCTTAAATCATAGAGTTGTCAGGAAATGGAAGAGCCTAGAAAGTGACGTAGTAGAAGAGGACCCATACATAGTTTTAAGATGAGGTTTGATAAAGTTCATGGAGCAGGGAGAGAGAGGACCTAGTAGCAATCAGTGAAGAGGCAGGGCCAGGAGCTATGACTCAACCCTTGCAACCACAAATAGGTGAGCACACACACACATACGTGCATGCACACACGCACACACACATGCACGCAAACACACGCATGCACTCACAAACACACACAAACACACTGACGACACTGGAGGACAGGAGAGATAGGGAGGACGTGATAACGTCATATAAAATACTGAGAGGAATTGACAGGGTGGACAGAGACAGAATGTTCCAGAGATGGGACACAGCAACAAGGGGACACAGCTAGAAATCACAGGGATGTTAGGAAGCATTTCTTCAGTCACAGTAGTCAGGAAGTGGAATAGTTTGGGAAACAATGTAGTGGAGGCAGGATCCATTCATAGCTTTAAGCAGAGGTATGATAAAGCTCATTGTGCAGGGAGAGTGACCCAGTAACGGCCAGTGAAGAGGCAGAGCCAGGAGCTATGACTCGACCCCTTCAACCACAACTAGGTGAGTACACACGCACACATGCACGCTAGAACGAAGGGGTAAGGGAGGTTTTGTGGGCGAGGGGCTTGGACTTCCAGCAGGCGTGCGTGAGCGTGTTCAATAGGAGTGAATGGAGACGACTGGTATTTGGAACCTGACGATCTGTTGGAGTGTGAGCAGGGTAATATTTAGTGAAGGGATTCAGGGAAACCGGTTATTTTTTATATAGCCGGACTTGAGTCCTGGAAATGGGATGTACAATGCCTGCACTCTAAAGGAGGGGTTCGGGATATTGGCAGTTTGGAGGGATATGTTGTGTATCTTTATACGTATATGCTTCTAAGCTGTTGTGTTCTGAGCATCTCTGCAAAAACAGTGATAATGCGTGAGTGAGGTGAAAGAGTTGATTGATGAAAGTATTTTCTTTTTGGGGATTTTCTTTCTTTTTGGGTCACCCTGCCTTGGTGGGAGATGGCCGACTTGTTAAAAAAAAAAAAAAAGTCTTTTATGACAGTACCTACAAAATCATCACAGACTGACCTGTAGTGTCAGGGAGAAATTAGTAAGTATACCACTTTCAGAAGCCCATCAATGTTAGTATGTTACTTTGGCTAAAATTGTCAATTGTGTGATTGTGACACTGGAATGTAAATAGGATTGTTTGATTGTCAGATGTACAATTCACTCAGTGGGTCCCCATTTTCTGTCCCTGAATTAAACAGTTCAATTATCTTTATATATTACGTATGTCGTTTAGGGACTTTGTTATAACCAGACCTGCCATATATAGCACTACTGGCATATGATGACTTTGGCTATAAGATGGTGGGGTAGGGTACTTTGGTGGGAGACAGTCGTTGAATTAAAAACAATTATTATAAACAATGAAAGGTTTTAAATGTCCATGTTTAAGTTTTTAATGAGCTTATTTCTATATACAGATGAGGCTTGAGGAGAGCCAACATAAACCATATGCAAATAAGTCCCTTCATGACACTGTTCACCAGCTGTTACTTGATGGACAAATAAAAGAGGCAGAGAAAGTGAGAGCTGAGTTTAAAATTCCTGAAAGAAGGTTAGTTTGCTATGGTGATCACATCTTTGGCTATTAACAATATATTGTTAAGAAAATTGTTATTTTCTCTGCAGGGGTCTATATCAGGGGTGGACAACAATGTTGGCAGGTAGGCCACCTACTGTACAAATACAGTTTTTTCTGTGGAAAGAAGTTTATAAGTTTTTAGTTTGCACTAGCTGTTAACAGAAATTTTACTTTTTATTGTTACAGCAAATTACAATCTCATACATATTCTGTTTTTCTTTATGAAGATATTGGTGGTTGCGAGTTATAGCACATGCTCAAGCAGGCCATTGGGAAGAGCTGGCTAACTTCTCAAAGAATAAAAAAAATCCAATTGGTTTTGAGGTATGTCTGGAACTGGGTATTTTTACATATGTATATAATAATAATAGTAATAATAATAATAACAACTATTCCTAAAATTTACATCATACTGTTCATAATTTTTAACCCTTTCAGGGTCGAGACCCCCGATCCTTAACTCACTCTCAGGGTCGAAAATTTAAAAAAAAAAATTCTTATGAAATGATAGAGAATCTTTTTCTGATCATAATGACACTAAAAGTATGAAATTTGATGGAAAACTTACGGAATTATGCTCTCGTGAAGTTAGTGGTCTTGACGATATTTTCGCATCAGCGATTTCGCCCACTTTTAACCCTATTTTCAGCCAATTCCAGTGTTTCAGTCTACTAAAATCATAGCTATTTCACTAGAATTCCTTTTGTTTTATCAATTGAGTCCAAGAAACTGCCCATGTACTGATTTCAACTATTCAGTTAAGTGGTCAGAAATTGGCAATTTGGCCAATTTCACACAAATTTCAAAATTGGGTCAAGAATAAACAAGACAGATAGACATTCCTGGCACTAAAATAACATTTTATCTGTTCGTTAGTCACATCTCCAGGTCCCTCTTAAATTACTTTTGCTTTCCATTTTGAATTTTTATTCTCACAAAAGAAAATTTACTGTTATGTGTACTACTGCATCATTGTAAAAATGGTGTAAATAATATCAGCACACTCGTGCAAGAATATTAGACTCACTAGTTGACATGTATTGGACACGTGATGTGATTTGTTTACTCTTGAACATCGGCAAGAATCAAACATTTTTGCTACTTTGTGCTCATTTTCAAGGTATTTGTCGTCATGAAACCAAGCAAAATTATCTTTGTTTCTGTAATGTATCTTCCATTCTGTCAAAAGATACCAAGAAAACGAGAATACACTCATAAATACCATACAAAAATAGACTGCAAAATAGCTGTTTTAAACCAAAATCATGGTCAGTTTTTTTCCCTCATTATGCACTGTGTGCTGCAGGATTTTCTTTTATACTGCGCACACTGAACCCGCAGACCCATTCTTTCACATATAGGCCTACCAGCCTTTTCCTGCTTGATTTGACGGCGCTAGAATTTACGCGTACTATTACGTCACCAACACTGGTGCATAAGACGTACTAGTACATCAAAAACCCTGAAAAGGTTAAAAATCTCATACATACAAAGCATTTCCAGTTAATTTAAGAAGAAAAAATAATTGGAGTACATTACAGTGAAGCCTTTTTAATGAATTTTGGCAATTTTGGACAAAAAAATTCCTGAACAAACATTGGAAGTATCAAATGAAATAGACAAAAGTCCATGATTCCAAGTTTTATCCATAGCATTAGTGTCTGGCTGTCTTCAGAAGTGTTGGAACAAGCCCAAAGACTCTGAAGTTTGTCCATTATGGGCCAGAACAGGCACACCCAGGACCTCTCTCTTTTCATTGATCTCTGAGATGTAGGCCACCCACACCAGTTTATTGTTTGTGCTCACTCACATAGCCTCTCGTCATTCTGTCTAATTTTCCCTGGATTTTGAGCATTTTCTGAGACTTATTAGCATAGTAAGTAAAGTGCAATTAACAATGGCTTCTAAAGCAAGTGGCGGTGCCAAAAGGAAATATGTGGTTCTGTGTTAAACAGAAACTTTAATAAAAAACATTGAGTGTGGCATCTCAGTGGTATGGCTCTGTGAGGAATATAGTGTTAAGAAACAATGTCTGATATTCACTGAAGCAAGGACATACATACTCTTAGTTTAGTGTAGATGCTAATGGAGCTTTACAGCTCCTGTGACTCAAATGAAAGTTATTCTGCATCACCACTGTCGATAATGGCAGTTTACACTTTATTCTCCACAATGAAAAGATGAGTAAAATTACTGTAAATTACATACAGTACTATAAAATTACTAAACACTTAAGTACTGTACCATAGTACTACAGGTTACAATACCCATACTCTGAGTACCCGAATATTTTCTGTATTAGTGGATCAAATCCGGTAGTTCAGAAGACAAACGGGTGATCGTGAGATATTAATTTCACAATTCAGAAGTTTTGAACTCTTGGGAGTATCGTACACCCACTTTTATTATTCTGTTAATGAGAGGGTTCACTGCGTTTAAATTTATATAAGTTCTGTACATAGTACAGTATGAAAGAGAAACAGTTGTGTTCAGAGATCTTTCTTCTTTCAACACACCGGCTGTATCCCACCAAGGCAGGGTGGCCCAAAAGGAAAAACGAAAGTTTCTCCTTTTACATTTAGTATTATATACAGGAGAAGGGGTTACTAGCCCCTTGCCCCTGGCATTTTAGTTGCCTCTTACAACACGCATGGCTTACGGAGGAAGAATTCTGTTCCACTTCCCCATGGAGAGTGTTCAGAGATGTATACATTTAAAGCCATATTTACTTGTACTCACCTAATTGTGGTTGCAGGGGCCAAGACTCAGCTCCTGGCCCTGCCTCTTCATTGATCACTACTAGGTCCTCTCTCTCCCTGCTCCATGAGCTTTATCATACCACATCTTAAAGCTCTGTATGGTTCTTGCCTCCACTGCATCACTTGCTAGACTATTCCACTTCCTGACAACTCTGTGACTGACGAAATACTTCCTAACATCCCTTTGACTCATCTGAGTCTTCAACTTCCAATTGTGACCCCTTGTTTCTGTGTCCCCTCTCTGGAACATCCTGTCTCTGTCCACCTTATCTATTCCACACAGTATTTTGTATGTCATTATCATGTCTCCCCAAACCCTCCTGTCCTCCAGTGTCATCAGGCCAATTTCACTTAACCTTTCTTCGTAGGACATATCCCTTAGCTCTGGAACTAACCTTGTTGCAAACCTTTGCACTTTCTCTAATTTCTTGACGTGCTTGACGAGGTGTGGGTTCCAAACTGGTGATGCATACTCCAGTATGGGCCTGACGTACACGGTGTACAGTGTCTTGAACGAATCCTTACTAAGGTATCAGAATGCTCTTCTCAGGTTTGCCAGGCGCCCATATGCTGGAGCAGTTATCTGGTTGATGTGTGCTTCTGGAGATGTGCTTGGTGTTATACTCACCCCAAGATCTTTCTCCTTGAGTGAGGTTTGCAGTCTTTGGCCACTTAGCCTATACTCTGTCTGCAGTCTTCTTTGCCCTTCCCCAATCTTCATGACTTTGTATTTGGAAGGGTTAATTCAAGAAGCAAGTTGCTGGACCACGTGTCCAGCCTGTCCGGGTCTCTTTGTAGTCCTGCCTGATCCTCATCTGATTTAATTCTCCTTATTAACTTCACATCATCTGCATACAGGGACACTTCTGAGTCTATCCCTTCCATCATGTCATTCACATATACCAAAAATAGCACTGGTCCTAGGACTGACCCCTGTGGGACCCCTCTTGTCACAGGCACCCACTGTGATACCTCATCACATATCATGACTCACTGTTGCCTCTCTGTCAGGTATTCTATGATCCATTGCATTGCCCTTCCTGTTATATGCACCTGATCCTCTAGCTTCTGCACTAATCTCTTGTGAGAAACTGTGTCACAGGCCTTCTTGCAGTCCAAGAAAATGCAATCAACCCACCCCTCTCTCTTGTGTCTTATTTCTGTTACTTTGTCATAAAACTCCAAAAAGTTTGTGACACAGGATTTGCCTTCCATGATCCCATGTTGGTTGCCATTTATAATCTTGTTTCATGTTAGGTGCTCCACCACTCTCCTCCTGATAATCTTCTCCATGACTTCGCATACTATACACATCAGTGACACTGTGCTTTGTTTCTGTCTCCTTTCTTAAAAACTGGGACTACATTTGCCATTTTCCATACTTCAGGTAGTTGCCCAGTTTCAAGGGATGTGTTGATGTATTTCATCCAACACTTGTTGATATAACCTTTGTTGGTGCTCCTCTCTGTTCTGTCTTCCCAGAGCGCCTTCCTGTCTCTACTAAAAATACTTCCTTAAATCTCATGTTGAGCTCCTCACATACCTCTTGATTGTTTCTTGTGAGCTCCCCACCTTCTTTCCTCAGCCTGATTACCTGGTCTTTGACTTTTGTCTTCCTCCTAGTGTGGCTATACAGCAGTTTTGGGTCAGACTTGACTTTCGATGCTATGCTGTTTTCATACTGTCGCTGGGCCTCCCTCCTTATCTGTGTATACTTGTTTCTGACTCTTCGACTAATCTCTCTATTTTCCTGGGTCCTTTGCCTTCTGTACTTTTTCCATTCTCTAGTGCACTTATTTTTTTGCCTCCCTACACCTATGAGTAAAAAAGGGCTGTTCTGGTTTCCCCCATTATTTTGTTGCCCTTGGAAAACAAGTGAAGCCCCACTGTGCTTGTTTTTTTTGGGCAAAGGTTTTTTTTTTTTTTTTTTTTTTTTTAAACAAGTGGGCCCCGTTCCCCCACCGAGGGGGTGACAAAAAAAAAGAAAAAACCCCCAAAAAGAAAATACTTTCATATCATTCAACACTTTCAACATCACACATTATCCTGTTTTTGCGGGGTTTCTCAGAATACAAAGTCTAGAAGCTACCAATAAAGATACAACTATCCCCCCAAACTGCCAATATCCCAAACCCCTCTTTAAATGGGCATTGTATTCCCTTTTCCCGGACCAAGTCCGCTATATGAAAAAAACCCGGTTTCCCTGACCCCTTCACTAAATATTACCTGCTCACACTCAACAGATGTAGGCCCCAAGTCCCTTCGTTCATTATCCTTTAAAACACGCCACGGCTTGTGGAGTCCAAACCCTTGCAACAAAAACCCCCTTTACCCCTCTCTCCCCCCTTTTGGGACGACCCCTCCCCTCTTTTCCTTCCCCCTTTGATTTATATGCTTTCCCTGTTTTTCTTTGATCCATTTCTCTAAAAAGACCAAAAAACCCCCCAACAACCCCCCTTTGCCCCCTGACTAAAACTTTTATTAACTCCCCCCCCTTTCCCCAATTTCCAACCCGAAATTTTTTTGCAAAAAAATTTCACCACACATTGCCCCTTTAAAAGGACA